GAGTTGTCTTAGGTCATCAAAGACTTATTCTTGATTGATTACTTTAGCTAATTATGGATTCTAATATTAGATAATCAGTTTCTTTGATATTTTTATTTATTTTAATTATACAATTTTTTTATTTTTAATATTAAAAAAACTGAAATTCATAATCATTCAAAAAATTAAATTTTACTAATTCTCATTATTCTCTATAGTCATTTTTTTTAATCTTAATCTGATTTTGTAAAATCTGAAACCAAGCAGTATTAGTATGAATTTACAAATATTTTGGTTCCAATTTCTTCGGATGTCCTCTCGAAGGAAGGGACAATATTTTGGTTCAAATCAAATATACTCTCGTACTAGCAATATGAGAGAGTGGTCTTAACATTGATTCGGACTAAAACCAATCACCTTATTGGTAAGGTCGTAAGTGACCCGCATCCCTTGCTGCTGTATGTTCCCAATTATTGACACCCGTTCCGAAGACACCCGTTCCGAACTGCCGGTGAAAGCCAAACAGTGCTTGCCACTGGTATCAACACGAATCAAATAATTTGCAGGCCTCAGCGACAGCGTTTGGCCCCCATGGAATTCAAACGACATCGTTGGATAGCCATCTGTGGGTTCAGATGATAGATCATAGCAAGTGTCAAGTTTAACTGGACCATAGTCGAACCCGCTCGCGGGAGGCAAGGCTCGAGCGTACTTAACAAACGTATCGCGGACCGAGTAATAAACCTGAGTTGGGAACTCAGTTATCGTGGTGCCCGAGTCAACTAAGATTCCCCCGCGTCCATCTTCGCCTATTTGGTAATCTGATGCCGGGATGGATACTTTTTCTCCATTAATAGTGACCCCCGTGAGTTCCACGTAGTAATAAGCCTCAATTCTTGGGTTAATTATCAAGGGAACGAAGACTGAGTCACCAGGTGGAGTTGAGTTAAACTCAAGACTCGAGGACGAGTTCGAGTCCATATCCACAAGGCAGTAGGAGAACGACGTCGCTGTAATTTGAGAAGGGAAGCCTACAGGAGTGCCCCCAAGACCAAGTATCCCATCTGCCCCGCCAAACCCGCCCTGGTTCGTATGCCCGCACCCGATGGCTACTTTGTCAACCGAGCCCGAACTTCCAAACGATACCGTTTCGGTGGCGAATTCGCCCATGCTACTGAAGTTATCTCCGTACGACGCTTTATACGTACACGGGTCAGCTTTGCAATTTTGGTTTTTTCCCAGGGAGGTACACTCCTGCGATGCACAGGATAAAGGACTAAAAGATGAAGACCCGGATGGGTCAAAGATCGGGTCGGATTGTTCGTAGCATGGATCGCAGGGCAGGCATTGGAGCCAGGTGATTTGGCTACCCGTATCCGCTATCAGGTGGAATTCTTTCACGGGTCGGCCCACTCCGATCCGAGCTAAGTACCCTCCCTCAGAATGAGTCAGTGGAGTTTTGAGGTCCTCCGGCTGGACTTGTACGTCCGGTTTAACAGCATGACGGCGGTTGAAGGTGGAGACAGCCCGTTCGATGTTGGAGTTGATGAGCTTGGCTCGGGCTCGGTCACTCGCGAGTCGGGAGAGTACCAGGTCAGAGTAGTTGTCGTATGGCAGCTTTATGATGGAGGAATGAGGATGTAGGGAGAGTGACAAGACGGAGGAGGTTGAGCTAGGCTGAGCTTCTTCGGTTGAGAAGAGTTGAAGCCTCTTGAAAGCTGAAGCAGAGACAACTTGAGGTGAAAAAGGACTGAGGGTGAAAGAGAAGAAGGAGAGGCCGATGATGAAGATGTTAACGGATGGAAATGGCCTTTGAGCTTTTCGAGCCATGTACATGTTTGTGGTTTTGGTGATGAGAAGTTTGGGAGATGAAGTTGCTTTGGTTTAGGATACAACTAACGGATCCGGATAAGTTCAAATGTTCGATCACAGTAGAAACTTTGGTCTTTCTTTATTATATATTTTTTGTTTGCAGTATGACTCTGTTCTACCCTATTTCATTTTTTATTGTATTATTATTTTTTTCTTCACAAAAATCATATTTTAATTCTTTTTTATTTTCTCACGTTCAATTAACAACTAACACATACAAATGTTTTTCAAGATAGATGGGCCAAATGGGACTGAACCACCATCATAGAATAGCCCAATTGAGTTGGGGAAATCTAACGGGGACTGAACTGACATCAGACTAGACGGATACACCATGCAGTCGTATGAATCTAAAACAAATCTCATATAGAGGCACATTGATGGGAGATAAGATTTAAAACTTTGACCTCCCACCGCACGATTAATGTGGTGGCCAACTCAATATGACTGCAGGGTCACTGTGACTTCTTTTTCCTGCAATCACGGCTTTGTTATCTAAAGTTAAATATGATTGCTAATAATTTTTCATAAAGCATTCTTTAAGGGCTTTACATGCAAATTCTTTCCCTAAAGAGGTGCGGGACACAAGGACGTGGCTCTTGAAGCTCACAAGTTCAGCCATATGGACCAGGTCCATATAAAAAGTTTCCTATGCAATATTCGGGAGTAGGCCTGTCAATCGGACCTAATGAGCCGGGTTTTGATGAGATCAAACTCAACTCATTTAATTTGAATCATTTTTGGGCTTCGAGCTATGAGTTTCGGGTTCGTAAATTTGAATCTCATACTCAGCTCACATAATATTCGGGTTGTGAGCCTTAATTGGGTTTAGCCCAAACTCACTTATTACTCCTTAATTTTCTTAATATAATTACTATAACTATTAAGTTGTAAAACCAATTTAACATTTACAAAACTATAATATTAAAACTAAACATGAACAAATAATAGTTCTTAAAACGTATATAAACAAAAAAAATTTCAACAATATTTATATTTAATCCATTCAAAATGCATGAAAAATAGTAATAAAACATGCGATCATAAACCAATACATCTTTAAAAGTTGAAACTTTTTTTATAATCTTGTGATTTAAATCCAAATATGCTTGATGATTTTTGTGTTTGTAGACCAAAAAAAAATCAACCAATATTATGCCAATACAAAAATTTACTCAACCGATAAGAAAAATTAGAGATTTAGTTATGCATTACCAATATTGGCTCTCAAGAAAGCTCATTAAAGAGTTTTTAGATGTATTTTTGTGTTTGGTAATTTATGTATATATTTAGTATTTAGTAATAATATATTTGGATATATAATTATACATAATATCAAAATAAATATTATATATATGGGTAATTAAAGGGTCGGACCTATATCGGGTTTGAGCCTAATAAGGCCCAAGCTCGACTCACATTTAATTCGGGCCTATTTTTTAGACTTAGGTTCAGACCGGTTCACTAAATGATCGGACTCATCGAACTTTCTGTCGGGCCGAGCGAGCCGAGCTCGGGCTGGCCCAGCCCTATTGACAGTCCTATTCGGGAGGCTTTTGTATAACATAACCAAACTTTTCCTTTTATATGTAAGGAATTTGGAATTTCATTTTTTTTCCTTTTATATACAAGCTCTGGTTGTTTATAGAGTTTTTGACCAAAAGATTGTTATTCATAAAAGTTTTGAAATTAAAAAAAAATTGAGAAAAAGAAACGAAAAAATGCTGTTTGTAGAGTTGTAGTCTTCGGGGGAACATCTTGCCCGAGGATCATTTATGCTTGCTGCAAAGATAATTTGGATAATGACTTTTTTCAAGAAAAACTATTTACACAATAAGTGGTGCTTGCGATTACGTTTTACTAATCTTTATCTCTAATCTAAAAATGTATAACTAGTGACAACAGAAGAATTTCATGCACGAGATTTAGTTGCACTGCCATATTTCCAGGCTAAGGAATAACTGGTAGGATTCTAGACCAAGCTAGGATTAATTAGGACTAGAAGAAATTGTCTCTTCCATAAATTCTATGCAAAGAGCTCTCTATAGTAAGAAAATTATCTTTCTAGTTCGGTAGTTCGGGGGTTATGGAGGTTTTGATGGGTATAATTCTCCTTGACGAGCAACTGACAAATTATGACGAATATAATGGAGAGGTTTTCTTCCTGTAGATATACCTTAATTGACACGACCGAGTATGTGTGGTTCATTTTGCTAGAAAAGCTAACTCAAGTATTAAATCAACAAGAACAATCAAGACTTAACATAACTCGCCAAATACTTGGATAGACTTGGTTCACCGACAAGGTTATAGACCATGTGACCATAAACAACGCTACATCACTTTTTTGTGAAAAGATTATAAAGCAAAAAGGTAACGTTATTTATTCTTTGTGGAAAATTATAAAGCAAAAGAGTGATGTGATTTATTTATGTCTACAAGGTCTATTTTCCAGTGGTGGATCGGATCTATACAAGTCTTTGCCAATTTACTTTAAATTAAAATGAAGACAGCAAGCTCTCGAGCTATCAACAATGTTTAGGAACATGGAGTCCTACAAAATGCCAAGGAAAATATTTGGATAGATCCAATCTACTAACAAAGTTGTAGAACATGTGACCATAAATATCGCCACATAGCAATGCCTAAAAAACTCTGCCAAATAACAAATTAGCAATGCATAAAAAATTTTGTTTGGGCTGAAACCAATCAGCCTTGCTATGTTACATGCAAGTAGTGTTTTGCTAGCAATTAATTGCTGCTCGGTCATTAAATTTTCTTGTCTGTTCAAATGTCTAACATCAAAATTAGAATTTAAATCAAAACCTAAAAGTGGGAGCAAAGTGCCATCTTTTTTTTTTCCCAAAAAAAAAAATAAACTAATGACAGTAAATACATCAAAACGTGAAATAGATATAATAGATGGGAGAAATTTCTTTGAAACTCCAAAATGTGATTCTCGAGTAGATTAATGCAAGTCTTATAAATTGATTACATTTTCAATCAATTCAATTTCAGGGTAAACATGCAACATGCCCAAGTATAGCTCTGCCCTGGTTTTCACGGTACAACCACTTTTTCGTTCTCAAAGAAGTCATTAGCATACTAATTAAAGAAAGAAAAGGACCTAAAAGGAAAAAGAAAAGGATCTAATTACTAAGAATCACAAAAGTTAGTTTGGTTGAGAAAAGAAAGTACTTTAGAACAAAGGTAGACGATGAGATCCTCAAAATATCAAAACTAAAACCAATCATCTTATTGGCAAGGTCGTAATTAACCCTCATCCCTTGCTGCTGTATATTCCCAAGTATTGACATAGGCAGCGTAGCGACAGTAAAAGCCAAACAGTGCTTGCCACTGGTATCAACACGAAACAAGTAATTTGCAGGCCTCAACGGCAGCGTTTTGCCCCCAGAGAAATCAAGCGACATCGTTGGATAGCCATCTGTGGGGTTTGAGGATAGATCATAGCAAACGTCCAATTTAACTATGTCATTAGCGTACCCGCTCGTGCGAGGCAAGGCTTGAGCGTTCTTAACAAACGTATCGCGGACCGAGTTATAAACCTCATCTGGCAACTGAGTTATGGTGGTGCCCGAGTCAACTACAATTCCCCCACGTCCATCTTGGCCTATTTGGTAAGCTGATGCCGGAATGGGTACTTGTTCTCCATTAATGGTAATCCCCGTGAGCTCCACGTAGTAAAAAACCTCATTTCTTCGATTAATTATCAAGGGAACGAGGACTGAGTCACCAGGTGGAGGTGGGGCTGAGTTAAACTCGAGACTGGAGGACTTGCCCGAGTCCATATCCACAAGGCAGTAGGAGAACGACGTCGCTCTAATTAGAGAAGGAAAGCTTACAGGAGTGCCCCCAAGACCAAGTATTCCCGACGCCCCCGCGCGTTGATTTGTATGGGCGCACCCAGGGCTACTTTATCAACCGAACCTGAACTTCCAAATGACACCGTTTCAGTGGCGAATTCTCCCACAACAGTGGATCTATCTCCGTAGCCCGCTCTAAACATACACGGGTCAGCAGTGCAATTTTTGTTTCCGCCCAGGGAGGCACATTCCTGGGATGCGCAGGATAAAAGACTATAAGATGAAGACCCAGATGGGTCAAAGACCGAACCGGACACGCTAGAACATCCATCGCAGGGTAGGCATTGGAGCCAGTTGATTTGGCTACCCGTATCCGCTAGCAGGAAGAATTCTTTTACTGGTTGGCCCACTCTGACCTGAGCTATGTACCCTCCTCCAAATGGAGTCAGCGTAGTTTCTAGGTCCTCCGGTTGGACTTGGGCGTCCGGTTTAACGTCATGAGGGCGGTTGAAGGTGGAGAGAGCCCGCTCAATTTTGGAGTTGATGAGCTTGGCTCGGGCTCGGTCACTCGCCAGTCGGGAGCGTACGAGGTCGGAGTAGTTGTTGTTTGGCGGCTTTATGATGGATGAATAAGGATGTAAGGAGAGGGACAAAACGGAGGAGGTCGAGGTGGGCTGAGCTTTTTCTGTTGAGAAGAGCTGAAGTCTTTTGAAAACTGAAGCAGAGACTGCTTGAGGTGAAAAGGGACTGAGGGCGAAGAAGAAGAAGAAGAGGATGATGAAGATGTTAATGGAAGGAAATGGCCTTTGAGAGCAGAAGAGAAGTGATGAGAAGTTTGGAACGAGCAAGGGTTTATATACACGTCGATCTGCATGGAGGGCATGTGGTTAAGTAAGACATGGCTGCATTCACTATTTTACAAAGGGTACATTTACATTTACTAGTCCTTCAAATGAAGACATATGTTTGGAGAATGTAGAATAACTGATATTCCTTGTTACGAGACAAGAGTCTAGAAGAAGAATGAAGAGACCTTTTTTTTTCAAAAAAAAAATTCTTTGAAGCTTAATAAGGAATTTTTATTCATGTTAAATCCGCAAGAACAGCATCAGACACAACCAGACCCTTCTTCCCTGAAGAAATGAAGAGAAAATTAAACAAGTAATAATGGTGGGTGCTATGGATTAATATATGCAAGTAATAATTTTTCGTAAAGAAATCTTTAAGGGTTTTACGTAAAAAAAAAAAAAAAAAAGGTCTTCAAAGGTTTTACATGCAACGGATCTTCTGTCCCACACCCTATACCACTTTCTATCCTATTTTTTATTATATTGTTATTTCTCTTACATAAACATCATGTTTTAGTTCTTTTTTATTTTCTTAAAATCCAATAACTATTAATTGAATAATACACAAAATTTAACAAACTCAAAAAATCAAAATGCATAAAAAGATTTTTATGAATTTTTTGATGCATTTTTAAATTTTCTATTATATATTACTTTTTTGAACTGTTGTATTTATTTTTTATTCAATTAATAGCTATTGAATTTTAAGGAAACAAACAAGAACTAAAATATGATGTTTATGTAGGAGAAATAGTAATATAATAAAAAGTGAGATAGAGAGTGGCAAAGGTTATGAGACAGAAGACCTGCTGCGGATTTTACACGCAAATTCTTTCCCCAAGAGTTGTGGAACACAAGGAATTATGTGGCTCTCTAAACTCACACGGTCCACAATTTTACCTGCGTGGTCCAGCTCCATCTCGAAGAAGAGTCAGTACAATTGCAATTTTTGTATAATGAATGCGATGGCACTTTCTTTGAACAGAGAAAAATCCTGCAAAGAGGCGATTCACCAAATACCGTAGACGTTCATCTTGACACATAAACCATACTTGAAATCAAAGTTGAAAATTCAGATAATCGTCTTTCATTCATGCAGAAACTCCCTTTCGGTATCGCATGCATATTAGGCGACTAATTAGCGGTCAACGGTACGCAGCATGAAAACAGCTGCACTTTTACCATTCGTCAACCAATCAGACCATTTCGTCTTCTTGTCCATTTGAATTAACCTAGAGAAACTCTAGTCGTCATTCGTTAATGCTCTTTCTAGTTCTTTAAATAAAAGAAGAAACTTTAAATTTTTGGTACGTTAAAAAAAAAAAAAGAACAAATGGCCTTCATTTGAACTCATTTATCAAAAACTTTAATTGTCTAGTCGCCAAATCTGTAAATGTATAATTGCTTCTACATATTTGTCCCTAGCCTAAACTTTTTAGAACTTTAAAAACATATTGTATTGTACACTGAAACAGTTACATATCCAAATTGAAGATCTTTATTGGGTATGATCCCCGTGAGGACATCGCTTACGAGGTTTGCCGTTATTCATTGCTGAAAAGATCTTCTATCCCGGTTGAGATTACCCCAATTAAACAATCTGAATTGAGGGGAAAGGGTCTTTATTGGCGTGAAAGAGGGAAGCTAGAGAGCACTGAATTTTCGTTTTCGCGGTTTTTGACTCCCCATTTAGCTGATTATGAAGGTTGGGCCATGTTTGTTGATTGTGATTTTCTGTACCTTGGTGATATAAAGGAATTAACCGATTTGATTGATGATAAATTTGCTATAATGTGTGTACAACATGATTATGCCCCTAAAGAAACAACCAAAATGGATGGGGCTGTGCAGACGGTTTATCCGAGGAAGAATTGGTCTTCCATGGTTTTGTACAATTGTAGTCACCCTAAAAATAGGATCTTGACTCCTGAGGTGGTGAACACAGAATCAGGGGCATTTTTGCATAGGTTTCAGTGGTTGGAGGATGATGAGATTGGGGAGATTCCGTTCGTGTGGAATTTTCTTGTGGGGCATAACAGGGTTGTTGAGGGCGATTCAAGCACATTCCCTAAGGCAATACATTATACATTAGGAGGCCCATGGTTCGAGGCATGGAAGGATTGTGAGTTTGGAGACTTGTGGTTGAAGGAGCTTGAGGAGTATAAGAAGGCGAAAGAGAAGAAGGTAGATAGCTAAAATGTAGTTCAAAACATTGTTTGATTACTGTTTAATTCCACACTGAGATTACCATTTGGTTTCCATTTGTTATCCCAATTATTCTTGCTAGGCTTGTAGAGTTGCTCCCCTTTAGGGGTCATTTCGATGTAATAGTTGTATTATTCAATTTCTAGCAGTTTCTTATTGAAGAATGATGCTATTAGTTCTCCGGATTTACTACTAGTTTCCATATTTCTTTCTTACAATTGACCAGCTATTTGTTGGAAACAATTTGACGCTTATCCACTTTCTCTTTCTTGAACTCTTGAGATTGCTTTGGTTGCTTGCCCGTTTGCACATTGCATCCTGTTTTAGGTACTACTGTTTTTGTCTTGATTCCTGGTTGAGTAGTTGATCTTACTGGAGAAGTAACTGATGTTATGATCTTTAGGACCGCACTTTGTTGGCACATCATCGCTTTCGTGGTTGCTCCTGGATCAAATAGGATGCAGAGTTTATGTGTTTAGACTAGTATGTTTTCTCATCCGTATGCGGAGCTACAAGCATGCCTTTTGGAGATCACCTGTGGTACTTATATATGGTAGTAGTTTCTACAAGAGGGACAACTGTAGTGTTTCAACTTTTGCGCTACAATCTCAGGCTTAACCCCAGAAAAACCTGGTTTCTCCCCCATCAGATGCATGACATTTAAGAGTCAGGCAGAAATTCCATACAAGATGCAGTTTCATCATGTATGCATATCTACTCCTCTTCCACAATTGTAATTCCTTTTCCCTGCTGTTCCAAATTCTACTCGAGTATTCATCTCAGCAAGAAGATTGGACATCTAATTCAATCAACCTGACTAAGAATTATATCTCTTTATGTTCAGTATTCCGCTATGTGGCATCTTGGTTGCTTTTTGTCCTCGGAGAAATTTTTTGTTCTAGGCTTACAAACTCTGGTTTGCTTTACAAAAGGGAAACAAATAGAGCCAATAATATTGCCGAAGCTATAAATACATGGCAATATTGCATTCACGTTCTTACGTGCTTAATGCACTCCTTGTATGCAATTTCTGCTTGGCAAAAAAGAGTGAGAGCGAGACTTTACTTGTAGAAACGAACTAGAACTAATGGAAGGACCTAATACAGTCCTGATTCTTGATTATATGTTCCTGTCCTATCTATGTTTTCTTCTAACAGCGGCATTAGTATTCAATCATATAATGCTATTCTTAGTCAATAATATTGCTCATTGCGCACGGAAAAGTCTCTGCTCTGTTCCAGTACAGCTATGATAGAACACGAGAGCAGATCCTCTGTCCAATATATTGTGTCCAATTTCCTGTCCAATGTGAAACTACGTAGTTTTACTTATTATATCTGCTGATATGACAACTAAAAATAGGTGGTTGTTTGGCTGCCTTGTACTTCTTTTTCTTTCTTTTTTTTTGGGTTTCCTTTGTTTACACAACTTTGTTACAATTCTCATCTTTTTTAAATATTCTTTTGTATTTGAAATCTTTAATACTTTGTTTTAAAAAGATGAGAATTGTAACAAAGTTGTGTAAACAAAGGAAACCCAAAAAAGAAGAAAGAAAAAGAAGTACAAGGCAGCCAAACAACCACCTATTTTTAGTTGCCATATCAGCAGATATAATAAGTAAAACTACGTAGTTTCACATTGGACAGGAAATTGGACACAAAATATTGGACAGAGGATCTGCTCTGATAGAACACGGCGAATTGACTGGTTTAAGTTGTTCGCTTTTAAATGATGCGGCAGCAGCATTCACCGGTTGCATAAACCGTGGTGACGGGGCCAAACAAGTTCGTATTTGCGAGGCATAGTTACAGAACCCCGGTCTAGCCGTGACGGGTCAGTCAGTTGGCCAGTGAACTGGCTGCTCAACCCAACCGAGTTGATAATTGGACCAAATAAGGAAGAAATCAGTTAAAAAGTCAATGACCAGCCTTTTTAAAAAAAAAAAAAAATTGATTGGTTCAACCATTGTTTTGGCCACAACTTTAACAATTACGACTCGGGACGGATTAGGTGTTTTTTTTTGGATATTTTTTAAAAATTTTATTATAACAGTGTATATTAAAAATTTTATATTGTAGATAATTCATTTGAATTAAATATATTTTGAGGTATTTTAAAATTTAAAATTTTATTGAGATATTTTTTAAAAGCTTGTAAAAAATTTCCTACCACCCCTCCTCTCTCCTCCATAGCCACCAATCCTCTCCTCTCCTCCGCTGCTGCCATCATCTTCCTCTTTCTCTCTCCTCCTATTTTGACTGCACAACTTTGCTGTATTAAGTTAGTGAAATAGTAGCCGTAGTTTGTGGAGTATTTAAATTGCTCCTAATTTCATATGGAGATGACATAACATATCAAACAGGGCCTTAGTGAGACAGTGCGTACCGTTTAGCTACTAACCTGAGCATCATTATGTAGTTTCTATTCCTCTTTCTTTCCATTTTGTATCGATGAAGTGCTTAATTTTACTCCGTGAAGGAAATCGCCATGGGAGGAGAGGAAGCAAAGAAGTGAGGGGCCATTCTTGTTGGTTTGTTTCTTGAACTCTGTTGAGCGATAGATTTCCGAGCATCACCGTAGGTAGAATAATATCAATATGATGATATCCGCCGTAATGAAAATGACAGCCCCGGCCGAAAGGACAAATGCTATTAGATGATTAGACTGGTCTTAGATGATTGATTTCTCTCAATTCATGAAACCTCAAAAACGTGCAAAACACTACTTTCTCTTAATTAGCTTGACAAGTTTTCATATACTATTATAATATTTAAACAACACACAAATAAATTAAATTAAAGGTGAGATAGGAGACACACGGCACGCTTGTGTGATAGAACAAAGACACGTGTATAATAGGCTTATCCACGACTACAATGTAAAGGACTTTTTTTTTTTTTTTTTGTGTCAACACAATGTAAAGGACTACAATGTAAAGGACTTATTTGTGCTGTGGAATAATAGAAACTCATCAGAACACGAAACTGAGGCAGGCGGATGTGATTGTGAAGACTAAAGAGAGGAATATGCCAAAATGCCAGAGCATCCATCCCTAAGCGCCAATATGCCAAGTCCACGTCTTTTATTTTCAATCTTATTTGATAACTCAATTCAGCAGTTAAATTTAATGAATTCAAATTATGTTTAATGAAAAAAAATTGAACATTTGAATTAATTAAATGACCCTGAATTTTTCTAGGCAAAACTTGCTCCCAAAATTAAATTATAAGTTATTCACTTATCACTGAATATGATATGCACTCAAATATATTAAATTTAAAACTTAACAATTTAATAATTTAATGGATTCAGATTTCATGTTTTAGATTTCAAATTTCAGTTTTATCAAACGCACCCACACGTTACAAATTTAAAGAGCACAGGCTTGGCTTATGACTTTTAACTAGAATTTGATAGCAATAATAGCTTCACTCTGAAGCAGTCTAGCTAAAAGCTGCTGTGTATAAGAAAGCAAAAGCAGTAGTAGCAGTAGCAGTAGTAGAACTAGTTGAAGATGGATGCCCCGCTGGTCTCTCAAGAGATGTCTTACTACGATTGAAGAAGCGCAGAGGCTTCCCCGAGGAGAGCTGACCTGATCAGCTCGGGGTGTCGATGGGAGAGCTGATCCAAGACCTGCAAAACAGAGAAGATGAGCTAACAGAGGGGGCCCTGAGGTGGTCCCCGAGGGCACTCCGACGGTCAAGTTAGTTTTCC